GGCCTGGCTACACCCCCACGCTGCTGTCGTGATCTTGCTGCTGCTGTAACCTGCACTTCCTGCAGGAAAGCCACCATAAAAATATCCATCTATATGATGTTTGTGCCTTCTGTTGTGCAAACTCTGGGCAGTAGAGCCTTGAACAGACTATGAATCCCAAAAGCTTCTTGTAGCCAAGGCAGGTTCTAGCTCTTCCAGATCAAAGGCGACTATGAAAAATAAAACTCCCGATTGCCCCATCTGGCTATTTATTCAGCTGCAACTAGAGAACACACAGACAAATTTTCAGGTGTTTAATGTCTCTGAGTCTAAACTGAAACCAGGCACTAACATTGCATTGGGTTTCTAGGCAAGAGATGAGGAAATAGAGCCTGAGAGCTGGACCAACTGGCCAGCCAACTGGGCCCAGTACCTGGTGCTAGCTTCTCTGACCCCTCCATCAACCTCACAGATTAAACAACAGTCTCTACCTTCACTCTTAGGACCCGTGTAATGCATGAGTGGACACGCACATCCTGTTACTATTTACTTCAGCAGAACAGAAGCTTCCCAGACTCTCCTGAGAGCATCCCAACGCACTTCTGCAGGTGTCAGCCTGCCCTGCATCTCACACTCCCACTGGTTCTGCACCTAAACTCGGGTCCCAAAGCTGCTGAAGATAACCCCTCTCCTGCACTCTCCTGCCCAATACTTCCTGTGAGTTGCTCCCAGCTGCCTTAGGAAGGCCTTTTAAGCTCCACTATGTCACCGGTTTCTCATTACCCCTAATTTCTCACAGTCGTCTTGCCTCCCTATCACATGAATGGGGTGGAGGGTTTGATCCCAGCTCGGCCACCTTCTCAGCACACCTGGGAATAGCCAGAACTCAGCACCATGAAGCCCTTTTTCTAGGCAGGCAGCCTTCCACTGCAAATATATCGTCACACATACTTTCCAGTTTACATTTGTATAGCAGTAAGAGCTAACTCCACATTAATTGACAGGCAGGAATTGCACAGATGACCAAATCATCACACACACTTTAAATCACAAGCCTGAGAAGCACAGAATCAGTCCGACAAGTGAATCTCTCATGCTACAGCTGATGCTAGAAATTGTGCAAGAAAAGTGAGTGTGTGGACCTATTAAAACATCCAAGTTACATCTACCACATTAGACACGTCAAGACAATAAAAATAAGAGAGCCCAAATTTATTTCGGGGCCTTCTTGTACAGAGTATGTTGTTAAGATTGCACAGCCTACCTTGAGCAGTGTTCCTGTGACACAGAAACCCGGCTGGGAAGTACCTAGCTCCTGCTGCCTTCAGCACAAACCATAGTTAGCCAGGAGCAGACAAGATACATTCATGAAGCCGAGCTCAGCACAGGTGACGAATACAGTTCCACAGTAGCTGAAGTGTTACTTTGAAAAGGGAGAAAAATGTGCTTAATGGGAGCTGTTAGAACAAGCCTAGAATTTCACTAGGGGAAAATTTCTAACTGGGAGCTGAAAGTCAACTAAATTAAATGAAAGTGTCCATGAGAAAACGTAGATTATGCTTAAATTTCAAGAGGAGGAAGGAACACAGTGGATTATTGAAGCGTTTGCATCTTAATGAGAGAGAGAATCGTCAAGATTCACAGGGGTGGGGGAGGGGTGGAGGAGGGGGGGAGAAAAAAGAACAGAACAAACCTGTGGCATTCCAGAATTTAAACACTTTGGTATTTCTTTTTGTGGAAAAGGACTAAGTAGAACTCGGCTACAAACATTGAAATCCCCAAACTCCAGTAACATGTTAAGAACTGAAATTTTCAAAAACACATTTTGGATAGTACAGGAAATGTTCATCTTCTTCATTCCAAATAAGAAATGGGATTTCAAATACTTTTGTATTCAATCCAATTTTCCAGACATCTGTACCTTTAATACATTTGTTAACAAAAACTTTTTAAAAACAAACCTATCATGTGCCCCTTTGAAATGTTAAGTGTTTAAACTTACTAAAAAATTGACTGATACTGCAAAAATGAAGTTAAACGAGTGATCTCAATGTTACTCGTGCGCACTTGCTTTAGTGTCTGACCTCAGGTTATTCCAGCAATAGCAGACTGCAACACAAACTGCATCTCGCTCTTGAAAACGAATGTTATGCACAAATATACTTTGATGCCTTTATAATTTTATAGACAAACTTGAGCAAAGTGTCTTATTGTTGTGCTGATTTACATATCAGAGATTTTCTTTTTCTTTTAATGACATGTAGTAACATTATAAAGCTGTCCTGTGAAGGAGGATATAGGCAAAGGCTATTGCACCTTTACATGAAATATATGAAGAGCAAGCAAGTCTTCTTCCTGTCCTCAGCCCTTTTACAAGCAAAAGAAAGAATAAAACATGTTATTAGCTCACCTAATCAGACGGAATTCAGGGATAATTGAATCTATTTAATTTAATAGGGATTTAATAATTAACAAAAAAGCTTCATTCTGCCAGTGCTTTACTTGGATTTCAAGTTCTCCTCAACAAGTATCAGCTTAAGGACAATTACCATATTTATTTTCTGAATTTCTTCATATTTATCTCTAGTCCCCTTTTATTAAAAAAAAAATCTCACAAGTTTACTGATTAAATAGCTAGAAATAAATTGTTAAACCTTGGTTTAGAAGGCATTGCAAATACCTGTGCTATGTGACATACTTAAAAATGATCAGAAAAAGAAAATAAATAACAAGTGATAAAATCTGCAAATGGTACAGAATTATTGGGGCATTAGAAGCAAAACAGCAATCAAAAGCAAACCCAGAATATTAGGAGTTATTTGGAAGATCACAGAGAGGAAAAAAGCAGTTGTTATATCATCGTATAATGCCTAGTGCATCCACATCTTGAATTCTGCATGAGTACCAGTTCTCCCACTTTAAAAGAGCAACAAGAATAGTTACAAAAGAATAGCTCCTATATAAAAAGAGATTAATTAGGACTCCTCAGTTATTTAAAAACAAACAAACAAACAAAAAAACCCGACCAGCAAGGCAACAGTGAGGCAAAGGCAGCTTTCCACACATGTGGCACTTGAGTCAGGAAGCTTTCAAATATAAAGGAAGACCAAAAGGAGTCAAGGAAGTAGCAGAAGGCAGCCATGTATTTAGATACTGTCAACATCAGGAGTTAACAGAAGTAACAGGAAGAAAAAAATGTAAAAAATAAGCTAGTTCTGATAATCGTGTTTAAATCTCCTCATTTTTTAATATGGCTGAGGAGGCACTCAAGAAAGTGTCAACAGTGTTCACAATAACTAGCAGTCCAAATCACATCAGAAAAGATCTTAATCGTATCCTTAAACTCATCTAAACCTCATAAAGAGAATTTCTCAGAACTACTTTTAGGAATAAAAAGCAGCACTTCTGTGGAACTTTTGACACAAGTTTTTTCACTTGCAAAACTGAAGTAGACATCCAGTAGCTTAACACAGGATTTTATAGTTTCCCCTTCAAGGATGTCACGAGCAGATGTTTTAACTGAAGCACAGTAGGCACAGAAGAGCATTTGTCAAGGCGATCTGTAGGCAGAGAAAGTCAGTGGGACTTCTTCACTTTAAGTATTCTTTCTACCGCTCAGAATATACACACGTAAGAGTATTAAACAATTCTGCCTTTCTCTAAGGATTGAGATGCACATTGCTCAGAAAATGAGCTTTGTAATGTTCAGCTTATTTCCAGAAGCCCCAAGAGTGCTTTGCTTTGCATTTTTATCTACCGTAACAGCTAACACACGCATTGTGGAAACACAAGTACACAGCTGGGGAAAACTGGGGAAAGAATGAAGTCAAAACTGAGACGGAACATCAGGAAAGATAAATCTTCTTACCAATCTACAGTAATTCACACAAAGCCTCAATTATTTAGTTTGCAACTTTATTTCTTTATAAGTTATTGGTATAAAGTTTAATATCTAATTATACAGTAATCTGGGAACTTTAAGGGAAGCTTATTTTTAGTGTCTTTTGCCATTTGGTCCTCAGACATGTTTTAAGAGGACTAATATTATGTGTACCTTAAATTTCTGTACAAAACCACTTCAAGCCTTTGTTTTGTTTTTCTGAGTAGGATGCACAAATCATGCATATTGTAGATGATATAATGGTCAAGGAAATACTTCCCTCTTTAAACTAAGGCAGTTAAAACCCCATGAATATCGATTGAGTAATTTGGAAGAGTAAAAAGGCTTCCTCAGTGCTCATGTATTCTTTGAGCAAATATTGTGTTCAGTAAGACACGCCCTCTTGGAATTATTGTTGATTTGACTGCTGTCTGCATTGAAAAGACAGCGATTGTCAAAGACAGCATTTAATTATGTACATTTTATAATGTCACTAACCCATCCACTTTTGAATATGAACTCATCAGCGTTAAGCATTGTGTAAAACCACATGCAAAAATTGCCATAAAATTTTTTAAATAGAACCAAATTGGCAAGTTTTTGGAAAGGATATTTCAATGTTAAAAAAAATATACTGTCTATTAAAATGAGCACTTCAAGTAACTTAAATATCTTTAGCAAACATGTCCAGCAAGAGACTCTCTGTAAAAGAAATTGTTCTTAGAACAAAAAGCTAACGAATGGCTATTTAGACACTAATTTTTCAACACAGTGGTGGGTCTGTGTGAAACAATTCGTAATCTAAATAAAGTGAGTTCATTACACTGTTAAAAAAACATACATTAAGCAGGACTGATTAACTATTGCATTTCTGTATTTACAAAAGTGCTTAGCATAACAAAATTACCTAAAAAAATATAAACTTTACTGATACCATTTGGTTCTATGTGTATTCCTAGATCTGCACTTGGAGAAAAATAGTATTTACATTGCTAGATTTAGACAAGTTTCCTATTATTTTTAAAGAAATTTAACAAAACTCCCCACACAAATGGACCCCTATGTAAGTCAATTCATTCCATCTGGCTCATCATAAAGAGAGCAGAAGCAAATCCTTGAGTACTGAGCAGTATAAATAATTCTAGCCATTGTCTGTGGCATTAGACCCCAATACAGGCTGCCGACAAATTGGGCAAGTGGAGTTTTCAGAAAGCCAGCGATCAATACAATGAATATGAAACTCATGCATACAAGGTAACTGCCTTAGCTTATTCCCTGTTACGTATTCATTAATGCAAACACTACATGTTTTACTAATTTCATTTTCAGTGTGAATATCCCCATAGTTTCGGGTAGAAAGATTGTCAATCTGCTCTTTGGTTAAACCTCTTAAACGATCGTCATCCTCATCTTCATGGGCAGCGTTCCATTTTCCACTAGGTTGTTAGCATCTTGAGACTGCCTGTTATCTTGGTTTTCATTATTGCGACCATAGCGTTGAATATCATCACCCTGTCCATTTGTTTCCCTGCTGCCTTCTACTGCATGCCCATTTCTAGATGAAACCTCACTTGGATCACTGCTGTTGTTTGCTGAACTTGAGTTATTCTGCTCTGACTGTACATCCGGTAAGTGATGACCACCTCTTTGCACTTCTGAGTTAGATTCAGTTTCCATTAAAGAACTCAGTTCTCCAAAGCCCATCATAATTTGTCTAAGGATTGATCGAAGAGCCACTGATGAAGGTTCACCAAGCCCAGTTTCCGAAATCCGACGAAGAGGTATCCGTATAGTGCTAACGTAGGTTCGAATACCCGCACGTTCTGATCGTGATATCGTACGCCGAAATCCCCCACTGTCACTTTCAAAGGTAACTGTGTTTTCTGCCATTCCTACTCTAGAACGAGTTCTACTGGCAATACTGTCCCGATCTCTGTTTTCTCCAGGACGAATTCTTCTCACCTGAAGATCTAATGTAATTGTTGGATGCCTTCTAGCAGCAGCTGCTGGCCTACTAGATTCCTCCTCTTCCAAAGTTATGCCCAAGGATGGGGCTACACTGGAAAGCTGAGAAGTCTGAGTGTTACCTCTTGCTTGTTCTTCAGCAGACTGCGGAGAAGGCTGAGCTGCTTGTCTTCTACCTCTGTTGACTTGCTGTGCATTTCTATCCTGCCTCTGCCCATGTTCCTCAGAATGAGCAGTATTGCCTTGCCTTTGCAGCGGAGAGCGGCTTCGACTACTTAAAGTAGATCTCAGCCGCAAAATTTCTAGTCTTTGGTTTGTACTCATCCGAACACTAGTTCTAGCTCTACCTCTTGTGACTCCTGTAGAAGTACCTCTTTCTGGCGTTTCTCTTTGTTCACCAGTAACTGCAAAATTATTACGTGTAGTATTTGTTTGGGAAAGGCCTGTCAACTCCCTCGTTCTACTCCTGAGCCTCCCTGAGATGGGATGAGAGGCTGCTTCAGAGCTTTGGGTCATGGAACTTCTTACAGACCTGGTCCTTGCAGTGCTTGAAGCCTCACTATTTGCCTCTCTTGCAGTCCTGCTCCTCGTTCGTGGGGTTACTGGACTGACAGCTCTTTGATGTCTTCTTTCTAAATACATTCTGCTACTATCTATACCCACATACTCCTCACTAGCCGTTTCAAAACTGTTATGCTCATGATTTATGTTGATTTCAAGACTAAACCGAAACTCCCCACTGTTTGGATTTGTTCGACTCACGGCTCTCCAGGTTTGGTTCCCACTCTGTCCACTGCGAGTGGCGTTTCCTGTGCGACGAAATGTGTTCAGCCATTCAAGCAAAGAGTCACCATGTGAGTTTTCTCCAAGAACGTCAGAATCTGAGAGAAACAAAGAATTGCAAACATTCATACAACTGAATGCTCTACATACTACGATGCACTCCAAATCCTCTATGCTTGCTGGGCCCTTCAGAAACATTACAGTAGCAGGACAGCTACCTTGCTGTGCTAATGTAATTTTGCTGAAAATATGCTGTATGTAAAAACGTCAGCAAAACTCATCAGTTCAACCAGAATTTTTGTCTCACCAGCAGATACACAGAGAAATTAATATGCCCAGATGGCCTCTTCTGAGAAAGTGTTCAGATTTAGGTAGTCCAAAGTTAGTTGTATTTGTCCAATATCTGTCCCTTGCTTAAGCTATCAATTTGAAGATATCCTAGTCAACTAATTTTGATAAAGCAAGGAAAAGTATGACAGATTTTGTCTTCTTTTGGAAAACATTTTAAAAAATTGTTTTCTATAAGCAGTGGAATAAATGATGCATGGTTTCGACAGATTTGCTCCTTTTGTGCAAATACATTCTTTTTCTACTACAATATCCACAGCTCCACTTGCAAATCTCCTCCAACTACAAGGTCAAGAACAGATACAATTGCTGTGGTTAGTGCTAACTATGTGTATAAAGCAAGCCAACGGTCATGATCACAGCAAAGGTTTTCCCTTGAAGGGATCAGATTGAGCTCTCCCTACTCCATCATCTCCCTACTTTCATGAAACCTGCAAGAACTTTGCTGTCTTCGTTTCAGAGTTGCCAGTTCCTCTCCTAAATCTGATTAGAATTGGCCAAATGATTAAGCCAATATTGCTAGGGAAGTGAAGACAGAGAGCGCACATAATACAAGCCTCACTCCATTAAAACAAATAGAAATCAAGTAACAAAAACATCAAAACAGTGGAGAGGTTAACTGTTTCCCAATTAACTTCTCTTCTGTTCCAACTTCTCTAATACATGATAAAACCTTTTAAGAATTACAAGAATGAAAATTATTTTTGTGCTATGAAGTTTACTAGCAAAGCGAAACCAGGAAAAGAGGAGAAAGTAATTTGTGACTGACATTCATTAGTTTTCATTTAGTATTTCAAGTTTGGTTTTATATCATTAGGAAATCTCTCCTACTTCTAAAACAATCCACAGAGGCACAATAAAAAAACAAGACTTGAAATGGCTGGTACTGATATCCATCAGCATTTCTCTTAAATATCTGTACAAAACAATATTTATGCACCACATACTATGTGTATCTGTATATATATAAATGAAGAATGTTTACCTCCAACAGTTCTACCTTCACCTTCTCTGTTATCCAGATCAGTCTGCGACGCCAGACGCTCCTTAGCCCCCTCCAAGCGTTGCTGCAACTCTTCTGCTGTTATTTCCCCTGAAATAATTTACATGTTGATAATGCTGTTAGATAAGACATTATTATTGGCTCAACACAGCCATGCAGAAATAAAAGTATTTTCTATCTTGAAGTAAGATCTTCAGAAGTAAGGTAAAATTAATGAAACTAAAAAGAAAACAGCACTAGTGTGAGATAACAGAGAAAGCAGGTACTGGGGTGGAAGAAAAAAAGATGCTGAATGCGTGTCAAGAGCATGCCAACTTCCAGTAACAATTCAGAGTCCCCCCAAAATTGCCACATACAGATAAACTTTAGTGTACCAGATGTTAATTGTTTGGATTTGGGTATTACCTACATACGGAGATGTTGCATTTGAAAGAGTTATATTTTTATTCCAGCTTTAGCATCTAAGTTGTTCATTTTTAGTGAATATCATAAATTTTGAAGGTAAATTGAGTGTTTTTTCATTTCTACAAAGCCACACACATCAGGCTACTTGAGTCATACAACCACATGCGATGCCTGACAGCAGGAGCGTTACTTGGTTCCTGGAGGGTGTGGAAGATAACTT